GAGCCGCCCCCCTCAGGCATTGATGGAGAGGCCGAACAGAACGTGCCGTTGCGCGTGTGCGACGAGGCGTGGGTGAATGCTCGCGCTCAGGTTAGGCCCCTGCCACCGCCGCCGCCTGCTCCTGTCTGTGCTTCCTCAGTAGCAGCTCGGCTCGGATCTGGCTCCGTAGGCCCAGCTTCCGCCCTTTTATGGTTCTTTGGTCAAGGCTGTGGAGACGGCGGTGTGCGATCATCAGGGCATTGCTCCGCTACCAGGTACATCTCCTTCTCAAGGGTATGGGTTTGTTGTTCAAAAGGCTCGGGCGCCGAATGAAGCACGCATAGCTCCATTTAGCAATACTGTTGCGCCTTAGTGGGAAGAGCTTTCGGTCGTTTTGAAGCGCATTCAGGGACACAGGTCGAAGGGGAATGGGGTTGTCCAGCGAGAGCAGTTGAGAGTTGCCCTGCGTCACCTGTTGGATGAAGCCGCTGATAGGGCCCGCGCGGGGATCAGGTTGGGGTCGGAGCCGTCTTGGGAAACGCGGTACCAACTCTTGCAGTGGGGTGCTGCGGTTTCAGCCGTCACGTTGCAAAAGTTTGTCAAGTCTGCGCAGCGTATAGCAGCGCGTTCCAGGCGGCGAGCTCTGCGTGCATCGCTCGACGATTTCAAAGACTGGTTACCAAAGAGGCTGAGGGACCACTGCACCGATCTATTCGTGTCGATCCTGTTGTCGGCGACGAGCTGGTCACCGATTCGGCTGCGTTGTGTAGTCCTATTGACGCGGTGGATGAGTAAGCAAAACCTTTCGTCAAGCTGTGGACCCCATACCCTTTGGATGAATATTCGGTCTGCAAGGCGTTTGAAGCCGCGCGGGCAGCTGCTCTCCTGGAGTCTTTAGAACCATTGGCGATAGCGGTTGTCCTCGTGGCTGCCCACGCGATGAAGCCGCGAGCAGGTTGAGGGGTTGACGTTCTCGCGCCGGTAGAGTTTGAACGTTAAACCGATTTGGCTATTGAAGAGCTCCGTGTTTTGTATACGGCGGTGGAAGAAACTCTGGTTTGGCTCTCTCAGGTTCCTCTGGCCCCCGGGAGACTGTTGCCTAAGAAGTCTAGAGGGGACAGGGCGATCGGAGTTCTGACTGCGTTCACACGTCTGGCCGAAAGCCAGGGAGCAGCTCGTGCTAGCATGGGGCCTGGCCCATGAGCCAAGCTGGGACGCTGCTGTCAAAGGTAATGGGGCCTTGCAGGAGGCGTTCTCGAGAGTTTGGGGTGACAGGGGCTTTGGGCTTTCCATCGGGGAAAGGTTTATCATACGTTGAAGGATTTTACGATTCAATGGAATGGGCGGTGCTTATTGGGACAGCCCTTAAGCTGGGCTTCCCGCCCACTGTTCTGGATCTTGAGTAGTTGCTCTGCGTGCGCCCCCGCACCTTAGGTCGGGGCGGCTCCTACGCTGAAGCCTTCAGCCCGTCGCGTTCCATTGTCCAGGGACTCAGGTCAGGAACAAGGCTTGCGCGTTGTACGTTTTATATAGATATAACTATATTATACATCCTGCTTCGCATAACCGCAGTCCATGAGAGTATGACGACGAGGAGTTGGATCGATGATTTGTCTCAACGGGCGGCTTTTGGACACTTGCCAGGGTCTCACCCGCGCGAAGCTTCGCGTGTCACCGAAATCGGTGATTATGTGCTCCCATATGTCTGATGCCAAGTTCATTGCCAGTCGGCTGACTAAAGCTGGATATCCTGTTACTGCTGTCGCACAGGCGGGGGCATGGACGAGGCAATCGTACACATCGTGTGGTCAAAGGAGCGGCAATGCATTCTCGAGTATTGCGATTTGCACGTGCGACTCGCAAGTATGCTGTTACGGCCAAGCTTGAGAGAGCTGGCACACTTGCGGCCCAGCTCTATGCGCATCAAATCCATGGTGTATTTGGTTCTGCAATGATCCGTTGCCGCCGTCAGATGTGGGCAGCATGTGGTTCTGGCACAAAAGGGTCGTTGCCTCACGACGCGGTTAGACCTCGGGGCCCCCATGGGAGACCCAGCTGTGCATTGTCCTCGTCTCTGTTTCCAGTTCGGGATGAGGCAATGGATCACGCGGCCAGCCCTTCGGTCAGGAGTGCGCAGAGCCTGGCCTCTTTTGCTGCAGGAGTTTCGGCAAGTCGCTCCACAGCATCGCTCGCGTCATGTCCGTGGGCCTATGGGGGCGGTATGCTTTATTTGCTGGGGGCGGACTGGGACCCTGTGGAGCCGGATCATTGGAGGGCCCCGTTTGACTTCCCTGGGGATCTTGGGGCCTGGAGGTTTCTTGAGGAGGGTCTTTCGGGTAACATCATTTTGGGCTCACCTGAGCCTGTCGATGGGTATGCCGTGGCATCTATCCAGTCTAAGCTGTGGCGCGGCGCTGCGGAGCACTGGTGTGGTGCCCAGGACGGGGTCGACAACCCGTCGCTGCGTCGACTCATATCCCAGCTAAAACTGGTCTCGCAAGGGGAGCGCTTGAGTGAGCTGATGACAGCGATTGCGGATGGTGGGGTCTGGCCTGGAGCCCGTATCAAAGCCGAGCTCGATGCCAACTTCGACGAGTTGTGTCCCAGGTGTCGTAAATGTCCTGAAACGGCGTTTCACCGTGCCTGGGGGTGCGAAGATAATGTTGGAGCTGCGGCCTACGAGCAATCACAAGATTTGATTGGCGAAGCTTGCACTCAAGCAAATGCTCTCCCGTCCTTTTGGCTAAGTGGCCGTCTTCCAGCCTCTGTCACTGCGCTGCCGCAACCGCCTGATACGGAAAGCTGGTGGATATTGGGTTGCAACGGTTTGAGCGCTGGATCCTTGGGCCGTGGAGAACCTGGGGACCCGCTCCTGGTCTTCGGAGATGCCTCGGGGGGAAAACCTCGGTTGAAAGCAGATTTCGGCGGGTCGGCCTTGCTGTTGTCACATTCGATTGTTATTTTCCGCTGGTTATTCGCGCGTCGGCGCTTGGGCGGCTGCCAAGCGTCCGTCAACCAGTGCCTCGCAGAGAGTTGCTGGCGTTTGAGCTGGATATTCGCACGACCGTCGGGCATCTATGTTTTGTGACCGATAATGAGTCGGTGTTAAAGGGGTTCTTTGGCGGAGAATGTGAGGCGCCTGACGGTGCTGACGCCGACCTTTGGTTGAGAATTTCGAGCCTTCTGATGCAGCGGACAGGTGAAGTCACCATGTGATTCACCAACTCTCATCTTTCTGGTGCTGACATTATCGATCGCGTCATCCCCACGGCCCGTGTTGCTGGACACGCGGTTGCTGATGAGCTCGCGGGCGAGGCGTCGGCCCGTTCCCAGATTCCAGAGGCGATTCGGCACAAGGTGATGGTCGAGGACAAGCGCGCTTGGCTGGTGCGCCACCGCCTGCTGCGAGCCTCCCTGGACGCCATGCAGGCCGAGGAACGGGGTGGAGGAGGCAGGAGGTCGGGGCCCTCTCGCCCTCCCCCTCGCCCTCCTGCCACTGCCCTCGTCGCCGCCTTCTCGTCCGTCCACGCATCAGCTCGATGAGTCCCGCAAAAGATGTCAGAAGTGTTTCGGTTCGGCCACTGCGGCCACTCTGAAGGAGTGGCATGAGTCTCCTTGTCTCACCCCGACCCCTGTTAATGAGAAGTACTTGGCCCTCCCCGTGGGGGGGGCGGTTCCACATTGCGGGGGGTTGGGCTCACGAGAAGCACACCATGAGGCTCCAGAGGGCCCATAATGTTTGGTTTTATCAGGTATGCGGTTTCTATGCTCATGCCTCTATGCGTGAGCTGTCGAAACCATATGTTCTCATAAACTTGACCCCCATCGTCGAAACTACTTATCTCGAATCAGTGATGGGGTGTGGCCATAAGCTCCGGTCGAGCTGAGCAGCTCAATCGTGTCCGTTAATTCCTGAACCACTACGTGGGATAACCTGTTATGTTCTGTTCTCCTCCTCCTCCTCCTCCTTCGGATCTTCTCCGCAATCCTCCCCCAAGTGTTCCCCGAAGGGGTTCCACCACGGTTGGCGGAAAACATGGTCCGATAGCTGGGCAGAGCTCTGGCCACACCGCTCGGCCACATGGGCGATTTCAAAAGGCAGGGGGGCGGCGGTGATTCGCCGTAGGTGTCTTCAATATGCCCCCTTATTTGGCCACAAGACGACCCAGCAAGGCCCCAAGACGGCCCAAGAAGCGCCCCCAAACGGCCTCAACATGGCCTCAAGAAGGGCCCAAGCGGGGTAGCCCGAACTGACGTTTCGAGCCATCCACCTCATGAGAGCCCCCGAGACCGCCAACAGGCGCCCAAGAACCCACCCACGAGGTCCCAAGAAGCCCCCAACAGGCACAACAAAGACCCCCAAACGGTCCCCAAGAGCCCCCAAGAGATCCAACGAGGCTGCCCAACGGTCCCTAAGAGACTTCCAAACTGCCTCCAAGAAGCTCCCTGGAGGCCCAGGGGCCCATGCATTTAGCCTCGAGCGATCAGGACGGTGTCCGCGATCGTCGCGAACTATCCCTTCTGGTTGTCGGCGGAAGGACGTGAGCCTAGTGTATGCATCATATGATTATATAAAGATAGATACAGCGAGGGAGTAATTGTTAACGAAAAAGAGAAGAGAGAAAGAGAGAAAGAGAGAGACAGAGAGAGCGATAGAGAGAGAGAGAGAGATACAGAGAGAGAGGGGGAAGAGAGAGAAAGAGAGGGAGATAACGACAGAGAGAAGGAAAGAGAGAGAGAGACACACAGAGATAATAAAAAAGGGAGGGATGGAGGGATAGTAAGAAGGAGGGAGGGAAGGAGAGAGAGACAGAGAGAATGGGGAGGATGCGGAAGACGATGACGACGACGATGACGGCGATGACGGGGATGAACTTTGAAAATTGGAAACAGACGAAGGCATGGGAGAGGATATCATGTTCACTATATGGATAAACTGGCAGGGAGCTGAAGAGGTTGAGGTGGTGGTGTATGCAGTGAAGAGAACGTGGGGAACGAAGATAAGGAGACGGAGGTATACATTGGGAGCATGAGAACACCAAGGATGGAATTCAGGATGATGATCCGTCTGGGTAGCGACCTGGAAAAACGCAGGCCGTCCCAAAAGCTAGGGCGAGACAATAAACCTAAACAAGGTCCCCAAGGGAGCCCAGTAACCGAGAATTAAAAGCAAGGTGGGTAGGGGCGGGAAGGACTGGCAGAAGACGGGCACTGTATGGTACAATGAGTACGTAAGCGCACGGGCGAATGAGGATCAGACTCCTACGGCGCAGCCGCCGCCGCTTCACTCTGGTCGGCTTCAGCCACGGGCTCCTTAGAGCCGGCATGCTCGGCAATTCCCACGTCCTTTGTCGCGAAGCGGTTCTTCCAGGCGCCGTTGAAGAGCAGCCACTCGGACATGTTTGGCCGTCCGTGGAAAGAGGCGACGCTCCGAGGCTGGGGGGGAGCTTTTCCACATCCACACCTTCGGGAGCCGATCCCACAGGTCTTAAGTCGGGCCTGTCCCTCTACAGGAGGAATATCCAAAGATAGTCAAAAAAGTCTGGGCACGATTTTTTAAAACAAGTTTGGAATACCTATACGACCACCCTTCGGGTGATAAGGAGGAACGGGGGGGGGCAGGAACCAACGTGTCACTCGATCGGTCTCACCATCGATCTCGCTCGATCGATCTCACTCGATCGATCCCACGATCGATCTCACTCGATCTATTTCATCCGATCAATATCACAATCGATCTGACTGTCGATCTCACAATCGATCGATCTCACTCGATCAATCTCACAATCGATAACACTCGATCTATTTCATTCGATCGATCTCACAACCGATCTGACTATCGATCTCACAGTCGATCTCACTATCGATCCCGCTATCGATCTCACAATCGATCTCACAATCGGTCTTTCTATCGATCTCACTATCGATATCACAATCGATCTCACAATCAACGTCATCATCATCATCATCATCATCATCATCATCATCATCATCAGCGTCATCACCATCACCATCACCATCACCATCACCATCGGGACACCATCACCATCACCACCTCATCACCATAATCAACATCATCATCAACACCATCATCATCAGCATCGGGACACCATCATCATAATCAGACACATCATAATCAACATCATCACCATCGGGAAACCATCATCATCATGGGAAAACCACCAACATGATCATCACCATCATCTCATCATCATCAAGAACAGCATCATCAACATCATCATCAGCATCGGGACACCATCAGCATCAGCAACATCCTCATCAACACCATCATCGTAATCGGAACTCCATCATGATCGCCACCATCATCATCATCATCATCATCATCATCATCATCATCATCATCACCATCACCATCATCATCGGGCCACCATCATCATCATCATCATCATCATCAACATTATCATCATCACAATCATCGGGCCACCATCATCAGAATCAGCCTCATCACCTCATCATCATCCTCATCACTAACATCATCATCGGGACAACATAATGGTCATAATCATCAACATCATCATCGGGACACCATCATCATCATCATCACCGTAATCATCAACAGCATCATCATCATCAACATCGACATCACCATCATCATCACCACCGGGACAACATCATCATCATCTTCACCGTCACCATCATCATTTCATCATCATCTCATCAGCATCAACATCATCATGATCATCAACATCACCATCGTCATCGGGACACCACCATCATCATCAGCAGCATCATCATCAACATCATCATCATCGGGACACCATCATCATCACCACCATCAACATCATCATCACCATCGTCAACATCACCATCATCATCATCAGCATCATCGGGACACCATCATCATCATCACCATCAGCATCATCATCATCATCATCATCATCATCATCATCATCATCATCATCATCATCACCATACCATCAACATCATCGGCCTCATCATCATCATCATCATCATCATCATCGAGACACCGACGGGGCACCGGCGGGACACCGGCGGGACACCGCGCGGCACCGGACGCTGGAAGGGAGTCATTTGGTCCGGCCGCGCCTCAGCCACAGCGGGACACCGGCGGGACACCACGCGGCACCGGACGCCGGAAGGGAGTCATTTGGTCCGGCCGCGCCTCAGCCACAGGAGACTTTCCTCTCGCCCGCCCACGCAGCTTCGCCTCGCCCGCACGCACTGCACGCACGAACACGAAACCGAAACCGATTTCCCGGTAGGGGGGCTCTCCGTTCCACTTCGATCTCACCCCCTCACCTCCGATTTTAGGGTATTCTTTGACTATTTTTCCATTTTTCGTCCAAAATCCCTCTGCAGGGGGACAGGCCCGACTTAACACAGGACCTCAGGAGGCGGTGGACATGCAAGTGGGAACCCAGTGATCGACGTCGGCGGCGCTCGGAGCGGCGAGGGCGGGAGGCACGAGGGCGTCAGGCCCGCCCAAGCGCGCCCACGCGGGCGTCCTCGAGGAGGAGGAGGAGGAGGAGGAGGAGGAGGAGGAGGAGGAGGAGGAGGAGGAGGAGGCGGAGGAGGAGGAGGAGGAGGAGGAGGAGGGAGAGGGGGAGGCGCCGAGCCCCCGCGCACGGCCCCGTGGGCGGTCCCGGGGGATCGGCCCCAAGCCTGGTGGAGGTGGACGGGCCCCAGCCTCGGAGATGTGCTGCGCAGTGGTCGCGTCCTTGTCGAGGAGGTTCGTCGACGCGTTCCTGCTCACCAGCAGCTCGACGATCTCGTCGCGGCCAGCCTCCGCCGCGCGGAACAGCGGCGACTGACCGAAGTTGTCCAGCGGGTCGATCGGGTGGCCCTTGTCCAGGAAGTACTCTACGAGGTTCCTGTGGGGGCGACGGCAAGTCTGACCGACACCAGATTCTGGCCAGGCCAGTGCTGGGCCCAGGACCCGTCTATACACCGCAGTGACCTAGCCAGGGTCGGTGTATACGCCGAGTGGCCCCCAGACAGGACTGGCCAGGATCGGTGCCAGTGTACAATTGGCGTCGTCCGATCCTGTAGCCGTAGAAGGCCGCCTCGTGGAGTGGCGTGCGGCCCTGGTAGTCCTTGAAATCGATGGTGGCGCCCTTCTCGACCAGAAGCTTCACGATTGCTTCGTGGTTCTTCCACGTCGCCTCCCAGAGCGCGGTGCGGTAGAACGGCTTCTTGCTGAAGTCGAGCCCGTAGTCGTGCCCTGGGCCCTTGATACCACCCCTCTCCAGATCAAGGAGCTTTACCCGGAAGCCGTCGTCGCCGTCGACCTTACCCTTCCGCGCGAGCCTGATGAGCTCCGACTTGTCGGCCGCCGACGCCATGCCTGCCGCACTGTGACGGCGTGGGCAGGGGCGTAGAAGGCCTACTGGAGAAGGGCGCGCCGCCTGGAGCCAAAGCAGCTACAAAGGAGGGATTAAGTAGGAGGGCTCTCCTGCCCGAAGGGAAGAGGGGTTGTGGAAGAAAAAGGAGATCACCCTTGGACCACCTGTCGCCAAAGGGCTGGTGGGATTTGAATGACCCCGAATGGGCGCCGCGAGGGTCTTTCATGACTGGCTCCTGACTTCTTCGTGGCAGTGGAGAGACGCATACCTCAGAGAGGAGAGAGTTCAGACTGTGGGAAGGAGGAACATGAGTGAGGGATGGAGGGCGGAGGAGGAGGAGGAAGCAGCGGGCCGAGGCTTTGAGAGTCATATTGCTTCCTTTCTGAGCTTGTCGAGGCCTCCCGGGGCATCTTGGGACCTCTGGGGGACCTCTGGGGACCTCTGAGGGACCTTAGGGACCTGTGCGGGAACCTCCGGGACATTCTCGTCATCCTCCGCCTGCTCCTCATGCCAATGTTCCTGGTCGTGGCCGCTCTCGGTCATGATCCTTCATGTTCTGCTCCCATCCTTGCGCTTGTTCGTACTGCGGCTGCGGATGCTGTTCCTGCTGGCATTTTTTGTTCGGAAGAAAGAGAGAGAGAGAGAGAGAGAGAGAGAGAGAGAGAGAGAAAAAAAAAACAAAGAGAGAGAGAGAGAGAAAGAGAGGGAGAGAGAGAGAGAGAGAGAGAGAGAACGACGCCATCAACCGATTCACCCGAGCCGCGCCTAGCCCCGTCGAAACACAGCCTGTAATACACTGCACTAGCTCGTGCCCTTTGCACGTTGTCGCGGTACACGTATTTAGCTGACGCTATAGCCGTTAGGGTCGTCTTTGATTGCGTTGTTGGAAGTTTTCGGCCAACCAAAACGGAAACAAAAACGGCAGTCTAAATTATAGCAAATACTGCAATACAATACCGAATCGAACTGACAGCCGCGCGAACGAAAAAATCCCAAACGGAAAAGCACAAATCCCATAACCGAAACGAGAACGCAACAAATAAAATGCCCCCAGCGTCTCACCATCGAAGTGCACGTGTGTTTCGTGAGCAGGGCGGTCAATTTATTGATTGGCGGCACCATCTGAGAAAAGGCATCTACGACATCGCGCGGGTCCCACTCCACGAGTTCACTGGCCTACTTCTGGGGCTTGATGGAAGAGGTTTTTATGAAGTTTCATCCAGGTGCCCCCGTCTTCCCCCCCCCCCACAGAGAGCTCCAAGAACGTCTTGAGAAGCCCCAGGAGGCCTCCAAGAGGCACCCGAGAGGCACCCAAGAGGCCCCCGAGCGGCCTCAGAGAGCCCCAAATGACTTCCTCGTTTTGCTCCTCTTGCCTCCTCCCTCCTCCTCCTCCTCCTCTTCTTCCTCCTCCTCCTCCTCCTCCTATTCCTCCTCCTTTTCCTCCTCCTTCTCCTACTCCTCTTCGCCCCCCCCCCACCACGCGGGCCCGGAGATGGCCCCAACGCGCCGTCCAGGCCGGCCTCCCTCGCTGTTTGACTATGCGTGTCTCTTCCTCTCTCCCCCCGTCAGCTCTCATGGGCATCGTTTATGGATGGGTTGGTGGGGATATTTTTTAGTCAGCGGCCGCGGGCGAGCGCGCCGGCGGCGAGTCAGGTCAAAGCGGGCTACGCAGAGACTAATTAAGCAGAGGCGGCCCGAGAGGGCTACAACTAGCGCGGCAAGCCGAGGTTTCACGCGGCGGCCCAGCGGCGGGCGGGTGGCAGGGGAGACTGTAACGGAGCCGAACTGCCAGCGTGCAAGGGTGCAGGGCGTCGAATGCACCAGGAAGTCGGGATATAAACGACGACCAGGGACAACCCCGAAAAGACAGGCATGCGACCGGACCTCGAGCAGCTGCGTGGGCACCAGGGTGGCCGCGGCCAACGAACCGCCGGTCGAGGAGGAAATGACAAATGCAATGGCGGAGCCCCGGACGTCGGCATGAACACCACGCACAGGGCTGACACCCAAGTGACGACAAGCGGAAGGACACCTCGGGCGAGCACCGAGAAATCCAGGGAACCAACCGCACGTGTCGGGAAGGTTGGTGGGGACATTTTTTTGGTTCGCGGCTCCAAGGCGAGGGACAGGGAGCGGGCACAACGTTCGGGGCGCGGTGCGATGTACATTGGCCGCAGTGGCGTATGCACATGCCAGGGACAAAATGCCCCTCATTGAGACGCAGGACAGCGTCGGCAGGTGACCGGCCCAGACATCCCGGCAAGGGGGGAAGCAAAGGCGCGGCGACCGGCAGCGGAACGGAGGGGAGAAGTCGCCCTTGCGGCGCCAAGCTCCAGCCGAACCACATTCGGAAGCGAGGCCAAGATGGACGGCGGGGCACTGTAAAGCCGCATGCGCGGATCCGAATGGCCAATGACCAAGCGAAGCCCACGTGCGTGCACCCAGGGACAGGCCTAGACCACGGAAAAGAGAGGGGGGATAATGCGAGCGCAAGCGACTAACTCAAACTCACTGCATCACCCCGGGCGAACGATGGCGAGGCGAGAGAGGCCTGACTCATCAAGGCTCGCTGGAGCTAAGGTGTGACTGATCCGCGTCAGAGCACCATCCAGTAGACAAAGACCACTGGTGTGCGTTCGCGAGGCTGAGCCACCTCCAGCCGGTGGCCCGCGCGTGCACATCGTATCCGACTCACGCAGTTCGGGGGCACAACGATACAAAGTACAGACGAGGGCTTGTAGCCGACTGCTCTGAAGAGAACGACCAAGAACTGCAGCAGGCTGAACCGCTCAATGCAGGGCCGCTCGCTTGACGAAGCCAAACACCGGGCGTCGCCGAGTGCATGGCTGACAGCTGCACCCAACCACGCCTGCCATGCTGCCCGTGCGGAATCCGAATAACCCGACGCCTGTGGCGAGACGATGGCTGGCGGCTACCGAGCTGCTGGGCCGTGCCGCTCGTAGGCGGCGTGCCGACGGCGGGCCAAGACGTCCTCGCGGTAGAACCATGGCCGGGTCGGCGACGAACCAGGGCGGGCCACAGGCAGGAGGAGGGCGCAGCCAGAAGCCGTTGAGCACTGGTGTCAATGAGGGGTGTCGGGGCACCATCCAATAAGAGACCACTGGTGTGCGTGCACGAGGCTGACAACCGCCAGCAGGCAGCCGGTCCACTTGCATCGCATCCGGCTCACGCAGTTCGGGGGCACAACGATGCAATGTCCCGGCGAGGGCTGGGGCCGTGGCTGCGCCGAGAAGAGCGAAACGAACTTGGATCGCGGAAGGCTGTACCACTCGATGCGGGGCCGCTCACTAGACGAAGCCGATCACCATGCGTATGGAAGACAGCCACACCCACTCAACACCTGCCACGCTGCCCATGCAGAAGCCGGATGCCTCCGACGCCAGGGCATCCAGGTGGCTGTCATCTGCAGAGCTGCTGGGCTGTACCGTTCGCTGGCTGCGCGCTGACGTGCCAAGGCGTACTTAGTAGAACCATGGCTGGGTCGGCGACGAGGGGCCGATACTCCCTGGGCAGGTCTCAGGGCGGACGCTCTTCTGCGCCCGATGCAATCTACGCTGTTGAAGGGGGGGGGGGGGGGGGCGCAGCCCAAAGCCGCAGAGACGTTGTGAATGAGAGGAAGAGAAGGGGGGGAAATTGTGGCGCAGCCCAAATCCGCTGAACACAGATCCAGGACAAGAGGAGGAGGGGGAACCTGGGGGGCGCAGCCACAAGCCGCTGTCACAGATGTATTGAAGGAGGAGGAGGGTTGGACGGCCCTCTGGAACAGTGCTGTCTGCTCGGAGTCCGCTCTTCCATCGTCGCCTAGCGGTCTCTGAGGTGGGGCGCCCGTCGCTGCAAGGGGGGGTCTGGTTGCCTGTTCTTGGTGGGTGGCCAGCGCCGCCCACTTGCATGGACACGTGTTGACTCTCTCCAGACACCTCGTCCACGGACGCCTCATGGTTCCCAACAGGAGCCTCCTTCTTGGCCTCCGGGGGCTGGGTGGGACCTGCTGCTGGAGCTTCGCACTCGCTGTCTGACCTTCACAGTGCCTCTTGCCCAACGGTCCATTGTTGTTCCTCCTCGGCCTCCGGCAGGGGGGGGGCGCAGCCAAAAGCCGCTGAACATAGGTACACGGTGGGGGGTGGAAAGCTGCAGGGATCCCGGCAGTGCGCCGGCACATGTGGGCCACGCTGGAGAGGGCGGTGCCGCCGCCACCGCTGACCGACAGAGAGTACCAGAGCCACAGAGGGCGGACCCGGGACCGGGACCAGCGGCGGCCCCCCAGGGTCACCTGAAAAAACGGCCGCAGAAGCGGCGATCGGATTTTTCTGTCGATTTGGCCCGACCTGGACACAACGCGATATCGCAGTTTGTCGTTCGCCACATCGCTAAAACTCAAACGCTGAATTCCGCGCATGGGTCCGCAATATACACCCTACCAGACCTCGCCATGATGCACCGCGATGCGCTGCCTCGTCCGCCCAGAAATGGTTGACGCCATCAGCGTCCGATTTTGCTCCCGATTTTGCGTCCGATTTTGCGCCCGATTTGCGCCCGATGTTGCGTCCGATTTGCGTCCGGTTGTTGCCCGATTGTGAATCCGATTTGCGTCTGATTTATTTTAATATTGAATCGACGCACAAAAAATCGGACGCGCAATCGGACACGACATCGGTCGCAAAATCGGTCGCTTCTGGGCGCACTTCCGGGCGCTCTTTCGGGCGCTCTTCCAGATTCGCGTCTGGGCCATATTCTGGGCACTGTTGATGGCGCTTTCCTGGGCGCCGTTCTCGGCGCTCTTCTGGGCTCGCCCAGGCGCTCGCCCCGGCGCGCCCCCAGGCGCTTCCCTGGGCGTTGTTCCCGTCGCCCCCAGCGCACCTTCTGGGCGCCAGGCGCGCGCCCAATTTGCAATGTGAAAACCGGAAAACCAAAAACATCAGAAGCAAGTCTGCTCTGCCACCGCGGCGCCAGGATGCAAGCCACAGGAGGACCCGCGGGGCGCGCAGTCCGTTCCCACTGCAGTCGCTGAGTCCACGCTTCTGCACTGCACCTCTTGTCCAACGGCCCATTGTTGTTCCTC